CCCACAGCGCACATGAACATGTCCCAGCACGTTAGCAGACATACTTGCTCTGTAACACACGCAAACACGACCGAGCCCCGAAACTCACCCTGAGTGCACGGACAAGCCCTGCCGTGTAATTACACTCACACAACTTACAATTCATGGGCTGCCTGTAAACACATAGATTTCTTCTGCCGTGCACGCATCTGGTCATAGTGTGGACTCGTTCTAACACAGCATACCTACACATCACATGCACAGTCCCCAGTTCGTAGACACGCAACACGCGTATTATGCCTGCGAGGCGAATGTTTCCATCACAGATCGCGGACATAGCTCACCACATTACTGAGCTCCAGCTCTGACCTGCAGCACAGACACAGCTTGTGTAGTGGTTAAGAGCAAGGCCTCTGGACCCAGACAACCTGGGTTGAAATCCAGATTCCACCCCTTTCTAATTGTATCACCTCGGGTAAGTACATGTCTCTGTTCTTTAGTTTGCTCGTCTGTAAAACAAAGGTAACAGTAGTACCTACTCAGAAGGGTCGTCGTGAGTAGTAAATGAATTAAGATACATGAAGTGCTTAGTACAGGCACCTAGAAACTATGCAGCTGTTCGTTTATATGACCGTCACTCCCCCCACTGAAGCCTTACTGTTAAAGTGAAAAAGGCCTACCCCAAATACCTAGAATCATCTGGCAACACAAAGATTGGCCGCGTGATACACGGGCTGGCTTGAGAACATGTAAAAACACGCTAGAGCACACAGATACGCCCCCACAACCCCCCCCCTCCCCGCCAAGCACACACAGAACCCTAAACCAGATGCCACTCACAATAGACACAACTGTATCACAATCAACAAGTTTGCTATTCGGTGCACAGGCTTGCTCTATTATACGCAGGCTCACACCACAGTATTCAGACTGGATGCATAAAGCCCGGCCTCACCCCATGAGGCACAGACCCACAACACAACACACACCCACGTACACACACACAAACACGCATCCATGCACCCTACAACTCAGCAATATGCCCCGTAGCACACCAACACATCCTCCCAGGCTCACATTTTTGTTGTATAACGTGTGCACATATTTTCTATTCACAAACATGCTCACGAACGTACAAGACTTGCACCATGATACTGAGTCTCATCCTGCGACACACAGACTGACCCAACAATTCGGGGGTTCCCCAGGAGGGAGACTCATGATAATACACAGACTCATCCAAAGACACCCAGACATGCTACAGTACGTAGATGTGCTCCAAAACAGCTTAGCATGTCCAGATAGACCCTGTACGATACACAGAATTGCATTATAACATTCAGAGTAAATCCCCAACGTAAGTCCTCTCCTATAAAGTAAGGCTTGCCTCATGAATACGGAGAACACTCTGTAATACCTATTACATATCCCGGGACACCTAGGGGTACTTCAGGATGGACGGAGAAGCCTCGCCATGCTCTCCATTGCACGGTGCACCATGCGCCACAGCCGAACTCCACAATGCACAAACTCATCCCCCCGCAAAACACCCGCTTGCCTCTATCGTACAAACAAACATGTCCCACAACACGAAGACGCTTCCCATGGATATGGACCAAACTTAAAATGCACAGACACATTCTTACGAACGCGCCCATGTGCACGTGCCCACACACACACATTACAACGCCCAGAGGCAGCGCACCATGCACAGACGGCCCCCTCGGGAAGGTAGCCGTTAGCCCCAGCATACCTGGAGACCCCACGGCACACGCACGCCTCGCACAGCACGCGTGGTTCCCTCATGACTCGCGGAACTGTGTCACAGTGTACAAACCTACCCTCTAAAGCAAAGACTTGAGCAGCTAGACTGACTCCACAAGGCACAGGTACGTGCCGTAATCCAGGCAGTAGACTCTCAAGGAAACACACCTTTCAAAATAGGTACTCACACAAACGTGCCAATTTCTTTGATTGCTCACAGAATCGCATAACCACATGACTTTCCCTTAAAGCAGAGACTTCATGCCACTTACACAGTTGGCCCACGATAAAAAGCCTGCCCACGCTGACAGTGCACACATGAGCCCCACATTACTGGGATCAAACATATAATCCTTAGGTGTCGTGTGACGCAAGATACGCCGCCACAGCTGTGCGTGCCCCGCAAGGCCCAGAGACATTCCAGAAGCACAGCACACCCCAAAACGAAGGGGCAGTGTAGATTGCGGTTAGAAGCTGACACTTAGGATTCAGACTGCCTGGGTTCCAGGCCCACAGGGACTGTTGACTAATTGTGTGACGTTGGAAAGGTCTCTTAACTGCTCTGGGCCTTAGTTTTGTCAGGTACAAGTTGGAATAATAATAGTACCTACTTAGTAGGGCTGTTGAGAGGAACAAATGAGTGAACGCCTATAAAGTGTTGAGAACAGTGCTTGACACGGAGTTAGCGTTATCGACGTTGGCTAATCTTGTTGTTACTGTTATTGTTGTTGTTTCTACACATGGAACTAGACTGTGCTGGTAAGACTTAATTGGAAAAAATTCGAATCAGCCCATGACACACAGAGTCCACCTACATGAAGCCCAGAATCCCACCATGGCTCCCACTCTCACCACCGTTTGCTTACGATTCCCAAATGACTGCACACAACACACCCACGATACAGATTCACCCATCCATGCGAGGATTCACCATGTCGGATTCACCAACCAAACGCAGCCTCTCCTATACACACGTGCCCTTACACACGCTCAGCATGGAACACGCTGGCCGGCGTGATGTAAGGAACGGATGAGCCCCACAGTGCTTGGATAAAATGTGTAATCCCGAGTGTTCTCCGTGCACA